ACACAGACTCAAGCCGTGGCAGTTTCTTTGGTCCGAAGTTATTAAGAAGTCTAGTATTGACGATTAAAATTGAAATAATCACATCCCCACGGAAACTGCGATGAAAGAGTATAATCTACGGCTGTAATTTAGCAAAAACAGTTTTAGATCGAAGATATGTAGATAAATTGCATTCACTTGATTGAACAAATCGGTCACAACAAATCAGAACTGTTAGTCACACCACAATTCAATAATCATGGGTTATCACACACTGGATTACGGCAAGAAACTGTTTCAAGTCTACAGATACCAAAATGCATTTATGTAATTGTCCTTTATTCCCCTGTCTTGCGAACGCAGGTGTATTTTATGTAAGTAAATGCGAAAAAAACACGAAAAATTTAGAAACTAGAAAATTCAACGAAGTTTCGCTTGATGTTTTAATTACATCGAACTGACCTTCTCAGTGTTGTCTTCTTTATAAATGTTAAAAGTGGCACCATCCAAAGATAACTGAATCTTGTACTTCGTTGTCCACTCATCAATAGTCCTGGCTCCTTGAGTAGCAACAGCACAGATAACATAGTCATACAGCAGATCAATTTGTAGGTAGTCATTAAGATCATCCGTAGATTCGGGTGCCCAACCACGGTCATATGACGTATTTCTCTTCAGTCGAGCAAACCAAGGTCTATACCAACGACCAAAATGTGTTGAGGCCGAGAAGCTGCTGTCTGGGATTGCATCATTTCTAGCCACACCAATGGCCGGACTATGACATGCTGTTAAAAGACATTCATAATCACCACTCAGGGTCTTAAAATATACTGTTATGTATCATTTCTATATTTTATTGTGGCTGCGAAAGGATTCAGACAACTTCCGAGGTCAGAAACTTAGATCACTCTTATCCATTAAAACTGGTTTATTTGTGGCCTCCATTTTCCCCATCAGCTAACTACGCGTTAACTCTTCACGCTTCTTTCCCATTTTATTTGTAAAGGTAATCGTATTGATTTGCATGGGTTACGAGGCAACATGCAATTACTTTTTTATGACATAAAAAGTATAATACTTCTGGGAAAAGTTATGCCGTTTTTATGTGTTTTTTTTTCAACGTTTAAAAGTTACTCTGAAAGGTTTAAAAAGTATATAGAGTCAAAGGTGGTCAAAGGCACGCTTAGTTCCACTGATGCTTGCTGAGTTGTCTGCAGCAATATTCAAAGTGACGTACCAGTGACTGAAAGTTGTACACAGGATGGCTTGAAGCACATGAAACAGAAAATGTGACGTATTTTGTCGTGACAGCTGACTCATGGCACTTTTTGGCTTGTCAATGATTCTTAAGATTATTCATGTTCTCGCCAGTTTCCCGTCGAGACCTTGGGTTGATGTGTGACCTGTGATGTTCCTTATTTCACACTTTGGGACACCAGAAGTTTTCAGCCTCTTCACCACGGTTTTCATTGATCATACTGTTAAGACCGTGTCATCATGACACAGGAGTCCTGTATGTCAAGCCTGACCCAAATAAATCGCGCCAAACATGCTTTCGACAAAGACTTACTTGTAACCATAATTAAGAGTTTAGTCTTGAGTAAAATGAACTATTGTTCAAGCGTATGGTCAAACACTTCTGTTACTAATATCAAGATCTGGTTCCTACCCGTTGTGCTAGGGACCTAGGTGTGATCTTCGATGATCAGCTTACTTTCAATGATCATGCTGTTAAGACCGTGTCATCCTGTATGTCAAGCCTGACCCAAATAAATCGCGCTAAACATGCTTTCCACAAAGACTTACTTGTAACCATAATTAAGAGTTTAGTTTCCAGTAAAATGTACTATTGTTCAAGCACTTAGGCCTGTACGGGATTCGAACCACTGACCTCTGCGATACTAGTGCAGCGCTCTACCAATTGAGCTAACAAGCCAACTGGGAGCAGGCCGTTAAGTTGGCTTGTTAGCTCAAGCGTATATTTTATAAATAATAGAAAGCGCTGCTACAAGTCTTTGTAATGTGAGCTGCCATATCCAGATGCGTATTGAACCATGTGCCTAGATTGTGCATGCGCGCAGAGGCTACAGGAGAGACTTCAGTCTGCGGCCCAATCTTGATGCTTTGGATTGAAACTTTTGAGAGCTGCTGACGTGTACCTATAATCAGGGACTCAGTCTTGTCATCATTGAGCGTCAGCTGATCGTCCCTCATCCATGCTCGGACATCACAGATGCACGTTTGCATGGCTGACACAGCATCGACTTCACTGGAAGAGTCAGAGGGCTTAAATGACAAATACAACTGTGTATCATCAGCATAAGTATGGACGGAGGGCAGATGCTGTTTAAGAATCTGGAACAGCTTACTCACATAGATGGTAAATAAAAGCGAGCCAAGGCACGACCCTTGAGGGACTCCACACTTCAGATCAAAAGGCCTTGATAGAGTTCCGTTGATAGACACTTGCTGCGATCTGCCCATAAGGTAACTCTTAAACCATGAAAGTACTTTGCCCCGCAATCCAATTGTTGACCTCAATCGTTCCAGAAGGATCTCGTGTTCAACGCTGTCGAATGCAGAGCTTAGGTCGAGAAGCACCAGCAGCGTAACTTGACCTTTATCCATCGCCATTAGGTCATATACACTGGACATACCGCGCTACAAAACTGCTACGGGCCAGCGAAGTTTTTTATACCGCGCAGTGACCATTTGGAACAACTTACCCAGTGATATAAAATTGAGCTCCTCGACGAACTTTTTAAACGGAAGCTGATAAATCATCTTCTGATCAGTCAATTTTGATTTTTAACATTTTATATATATAAATAGATCTGTATATGTTCATCTCCCCTATTGCAGTTATTGTAATTATTGTAAGAATTGTAACTATTAAGATAGTTTTTAAGCTCTGAAAGGCCCCTCTGGGGAAAGTTTAATAAATTATTGTATTGTATTGTTTTCCTAGCGCTTTGATTGATCATCTTTTTCTGGTTAAGGATCTTTAAAATACAGTATTTTTTGTTTCCTTTAATTAAATTGTGTGATTTTCGTACGCATAATGGGAGAGTAAACTGAAATGCACTGACAAAGGAGCAGTCCTGAGCTTTCTGAGTAACTGCAAAACAGTAAGAATACCTGTCGCCGTTGTTACATGTACAATTACAAGTGTTAATGGCTGTCCTCGTGCAAAAGTCACTGTGAAAAATATACCTGGCTTTGATTTCACTCCAAACACCTCTGTTCTCATACACATCCCACCCTGATATGTCTGTGGCCGGAATCGCACATATCTCGTTTGCAGTCCATAAACAACATGCCTCACTTGCGAGTTTCTGTCATCATTTCCCATGAACACCTAAGATTTGAAAAGTTATGAAATACAGCAGTATAGGTACATGGATCCTGCAGGTAAGTATATAGGACGTCACGGGTGTATTTTGCGAAACCAAAACAAACCAAACGAAAGCAAGCCGAACAAAATCAAGTAAAAACGAAAAGTTCAAGGCTCACATGATATATCTCAAAATGAACTGTTACAGAGTTGCCAGTCGTGCTTCATTTGTTAACATATAGCTGATTGGTAGAACAAAACTTTGGCTTCCAGCAAATAAGAAAAATGGAAATGGCGGTCGCCCAGTCGGTTACTTTACACAAGTTGGCCACTTATGCAAAGTTGTAAAGTTAATTTATTATACAATCAAGTGCCTTGTTTAAGTTCGTTATCAATAAGATTTCGCTTTCCAAGACATTTTCTCCATGTTTAAATGGACATATTTCCAGTCGCGCAAAGTACGGTTTCTGGCAGTAATTATGTGAGTTATAACCTCAATAAGTCAGTTTCATTTGGTGCATGGTAAGGGAAAAAACGGTTTTAATGCTATCATATGATTTTTTTGTTATTGACAAACAGCATCTGTTTGAAAGCATGTTGGAAACTGTACTGTATAATTATTCTTAAATTGATTGACATATGGTTTCAAGATAATTAGGGATAGATTTTATGATTTCCAGATAATGATCAGTCCACGATTGACGCAACCTTGAATGACGTTAACTGCTCAGACAATCACAATGTAAAGAATACAGTACATTAACTTGAACTTGGTTTAGCCGGAGGTTAGAGAACACGCTCTATTCGCTCCGACGAAGGGCTAACGCTCGAAACGTCAGCTTTTGTAATCGTTACGGTGGCCAATTTACCACTTCAACTTTTTTGATATATCCAAATTAATTAGAGAACACGCCTTACACATCTGATGTAACTAAAGTGTAATAGCAAAATTGAATCAAGCGAATAAATCGTGAGTACAGCTTTTTCACGTTTTCGACAAGCATTTTAAAATTGTCACTTTCTATAAATAGCATGTATTCCTTGTCCACGATAGCGGTCCACTATTCACCATACCTTAACCTTTCCACCTTCCCTGTAGTCTGTCCAAGTTGTCCCATCTGTTGATAACTGTAGTCTGTAGTTCTTCACCCACTGATCTGCTTGAAAATTCCCTTGAGTGGACACAGCACAGATGATATGGAGTGTCTGTAGATCAATCTGTAGATATGGGTTAGTGTCACTTGTTCCTGCACACCATGATGATCCTAATGTGTAGTTCAGTCGACCATTCTTGGCT